CTTAAAATATGAGTGTTCCTTAACTTTCAGATTCTCCTCCATAACTCTACAATCAAATTGTAGGGTTTGAAGAAATAAAATTTTTTATTGGCTACAAACAATTATATCTGAGGTTCAAACTTGTTATTTAGCTTTTGACTCAAATTTTCAAACATTTACAGTCTTACTGCTTTAGCTGCACTAAATAGACTTTCCCAACTTAATATGTTCACACTGGAGCTTCTCAGTTTCTATACAGCTCATTTGGTGATTGGCCCTATCCAAATGTGGACTATATATGGAGATCTACCTAGCCATTTCATGACTTCATATATCCTGAAACTAAATTGACAGAAACTGTTCCCCTACACTTTCCACCCCTTCCCTGAACCAAAGCACTAAAACCTGTGAAGATGAAGGTGAAAAAGTTCATTAGATTTTTTTTCTCAGATCACACCAGTCACCTGCTGAACACCTGCCCAATTTACCCCTGCTCAATCCTCAAGCTTGTATATATCCTATGATACATAAAGCTAACATTGGATTTCTAAGTCAATTAGTTATAAGGAAGCTGGTTACATAGCAGGATAACTAACAGTGATTAGCTCCTTGTCATGCTTCATTCATATAAAGCAATTACAGTTCAATTTTGAAAATAATCTCCTGATTTAAGCTCAGAACAAAAGCCCCCTTGAAGTGGCCACTGCATGACTGCACTGTTTGTATTTCTTCAAGCGGTGCATCCATAGCAATGGCAACCTCTTCCAAGCTTGACTTAAAATATGACTTGAAAGCTATTTCAAAACCTCCGAGTCCATGTTCCTAGTGAGATCTTAATGTTCGTGGCTGCTGTAAACCTCCAACTGCTTCTTTTTTTATCCAATGATATTGTGTAAACTTCATGTCTTTAATTGATTCCTCTCCAGGTTCTTCTCCAACAAAGTGAGAAAAAATCCCCTATTTTGGCTATTTTGTTTTTTTATGACTCCAACTGGGTTAAAATTACATTTCCTGCCTACATCCCTTATTCCTATAATTGTGTTCTGTTTCAACCAGAATAACTCATTTGTGTATTTGCCCCCCTTCCTGTAACATCAATGACATCACAGTATGTTCGTCCTTTCCCCTCTCAGGAGGGCTTCAGATGTAGATAGACTGCCCATCATGTGCAACAATTATGGTTAAACTCCAAGTTCTTCTGTCTGCTGAAGTATTGCTATAATATCCTCATATGTGGCAATGTTAGTTAATTCACTGAGCTACACCTGGACCTCTAAATAACATATCCAGCTTTAAAGAGGTGATGACAGGGCTCTGTGCTATGTGACTCCAGTGACTAAGACCTCTCCTTAGGAGAAGTCATCTGTACATATCCCATAAGTCACACAAGAAGTTGTAATTTTTAAAACACTTTTTATTTTTAAATTATGTGTATGTATATATGTCTTTGTGTGTGTTTATGTGAGTTCAAGTATCTGCAGGGGCAGCAGGAGGGCATAGGATGACCTCAAGCTGCAGATAAGGACAAGTATGAGCTACTCAATGAGGGGGTTGCAAATCAAACTCACGTCCTCTTCAAGAGCAACAAGCATTGTAAACCACCGAGTGATCTCTCCAGCTTCTGAAATAGTGATATCTGACGCTGCTGATCTTAAAAAACAAATTAAAAATCATTAAGCAGGTAAATCCATAAGCAGGGACTTCTGCTTGCAGTAAATCCTGTGGTGTTCAGGGCTGTCCTAAATCTTTGGTTCCTATCCTCAGTGATGAGCATGTGAGAAGCAATTATCCTGAGGAGACCAGCAGGAAGCAGCCTTTCAATAGCAGGAGCAGGTGGTGGGGCATAATACCATCTGGCTTCCTGCCAGCATCCCAATAGCTTATTCTATTCTGTGTCCTCCTGAAGGTGCTTGTAGGAAAAGTAAATGGTTCTGATACAGACAAGATTTTTTCCCCATTATTAATAAGGCAGCAATAGGCTCATTATCTGACTTCCTACATAAAAAGCTCAGGGCTTTGTTTACTTACATTAAGAAGAGGTACTAATATCAAGTACCCCAGAATATAAACCAATCACCTACAGAATAGTAGCCTAATTCTTTGGTCGGGATGGTGGCTAGGGTATGCTTTAGCTCTAATGAATATCACTGCCTTCCTTGTGTAGATTTGGAGAAGAGGGTGGAGGGTACTGTAGTCAGACTTTCCTTTGGTTCACCAGCTCACAAATAATGATACAGAGACTATTAATTATGAAAGCTTGGCCTTAGCTTAGGCTTTTTACCAACTAGTTCTTGTAACTTAAATTAACCCATTTTTTCTTTGTGTGTGTGTGTGTGTGTGTGTGTGTTTGTGTACCATGATTAATATTGTGCTTTCCTTTATTTTTATTTTTCCCAAGTTTATTTTTTATTTCATTTTACATTCCAACCACAGTTCTCCCTCCCACTACCCCTCACCTCCTTCCACCCTCCCTCACCTCTCCCCTAGCCTATTCCCCATCTACTCCTCACGGGTAAGGGCTCCCAAGAAGAGTCAACATAGTTTGGTACAATAGGTTGAGGCATGGCCGGGCCCCTCTCCATGCATTAAGACTGAGCATGGCATCCTACCATTGGGAATGGGCTCCAACAAGCTAGCTCATATACCAGGTTTGAATCATGGTCCTACTGCTAGGGGCCCCTCAGATAGTCCAAGCTTTACAACTGTCTCTCATATATGGAAGGCCTAGTTCAGTCCTCTGGAGTTTCCACAGTTGTAGGTCTAGAGTCCGTGAGTTTCAACGAGCTTGGTTCAGCTGTCTCTGTAGATTTCTCCATTATGATCTTGACCTCCCTTGCACATATGTTCCCTCCTCCCTCTCTTCACCTGAATTCCTGGAATTCAGCCTGGTTTTTGGTTGTGGATCTCTGAATCTGGTTCCATCAATTGCTGGATGAGAGCTCTATGATGATAGTTTGGGTATTCATCAATCTGTTTACAAGTGTAGGCCAGTTCAGGCATCCTCTCCACTATTGCTAGGAGTCTTAGTTGGGGTGCTCCTTTTGGATTCTTGGGGGTTATCCTAGCACCAGTTAACCCATATATTTTAGTCTACATTCTGTCACATGGCTCAGTTACCTCTCCTCTGTCCTCTGTGTCTTACATTCTACTTCTTCAGTGTCTCACTGGCAAATCTCTTGTGTGTCTAGATTCATCCTGAGGTCTTCTCTTTCTCCAGAAGCCCTGCCTATTCTTTCCTACTTAGCTATTGGACATTCAGCTCTTTATTAAACCAAACACAATGACACATCTTTACATAGTATAAACAAATATCCCAAATAGAGGGAGATCTATTACAATGAACATATGAAACATAATAATATAAATTAGTTATGAAATTCATCTACTTGCACAAAAATTTATTCCTTTTTGAATAAATTATTTCTCCTCATTACCTGAGAAAAATGGTAGATTTAATATGGTGGCTTTAAAATATTATTCCACAATGCCTTACCATCAATGAGACTGAGGCAGGAGGATTACAGTGAGTTTGAGGACAGCCTGGTCTACAAAGTGAGTTTCAGTGCAGTCAGGACTGTTACACAGATAAACCCTGTCTTAACCACTAAAAAAAAAAAAAAAACTAAAAATAAACAACTAGTTTTGGGGGAGACGATCTGGTTGGAGACATAAGAAAATAAAAACAGTGGCAGATACTGAATAGCTGTGGGGTGAGAGAAAAGAGAGAAGGCTGGAGGGAGATAGGAGAAAATGAAATCACTGACCTGAATGCACATCTCCTTGGTAGATCTATTGCTTTGTCTCTCTGGTTCTACCCAGGTTATACTCTATGTTGATTTTTTTTTTACTCATCGAATTCCTCACTCAGGGACTACATCTCCCTCCTGTGTAACATTTTCTCGATTCTCTTCTGAGAGATGTGTGTAGGGCATCTATGTTTAGAATTGCAATCTGCAATGCAGATTGTTCTCTTCATCCCGATGAAGAAGACAATCTTTATGTCTTTTACTAATTTTAATATGAAATCTATCTTTTTCAGGTACCAGAACAACAACTGATTCTTCCTTTCTAGTTCCATTTCCTTGATATACCTTTTTCATCCTTCTATCTGAAATTTGGGATTATTTTTGATAGTGATATACATGTATTAGAAACAAGTAGATTAATCCTATTTTTAAATAAAATACAATTACATCACTACCCATCTTCCCTTTACTCCCTCCATACCCTTCCCATGTTTCTTGTCTCCTCAATCTCTGTCAAACTGATAGCTTTTTTGATTATACACACACACGCACACACACACACACACAATCCCTGCACTATTCTAATGCCTCCTGTAGCTATTTGTCATCTCCCACTATGTCCCCAGTTTTTGGCAGTCAAGCCCCTGTTCATGCAATGCCACTGTGTGTGAAGGGAAGCAGTTCGTGGATTCCAATGCCTCTGTAAAACCGTGTGTTGTTGATGAGCAACATGCAAGCTTCTCTTTCCTGCTTCCACATAGAGACTCACCATCTCACCTGATAGTCTCTTGAAAATAGTGTGAAATGAAAAAAAAATTTTTAAAAAATATATATTTCATTGTTATTGACTGTATTGGACAAGCAATACTTATATCAGACTTCAAACATTTCCATCACTTCATAAGGAAACCCCTCTCTGCCAAATCCATCCCCCACCTCTGCCAATAGGTTCTTACGGCACATGCAAGTGTGTAATCTTCACAATTAGATTATATGCAAATACTCTGAGGAGGTTTGCAAAGTCTAAATTAAAAGAGCATAGGAGCATTTCTACGTCTCTTCATGTGAAACCAGCTTTCTGAAGGGCCTTATTATCTTCCTGTTCCTTCCAGTCAGGCAGCCTTCCAGTCACACATCCATCAGCTATTTTATTTCTCGTGCAAATAATTTATGAAGACAAAGGTACCATAAGGGTTCTTGAAACGATCCCACAGTGCCTGACATTCTGGACCTCCCTCCTAACCTCATAGTTTGGAGGTCAATATTGGCTCTTACCCTTTGCTTCTCTGGGTCCACATAGCGGATTCCAAAGTAGTCCTTCTCCAGCAAGCTGTAGTAGTTGCAGATGTGTTCAATAAGAAACTGCCCTTTCGTCTCCCTCTAGAAAAGAAGTGCATTTAAGTTACAGCCAGAGCTCATACCCATTCCAATTCCATTCCCAGAATGGGTTTACAGCAATGGATTTGGTCACTGTGGACATGGGCATAAGGGTTTCCAATATTTTTTAATTACAACCTCAGCAAGCAAGAGATTTTACTAGGTGAGCAGATTAGTGATTTTCTGGTGGTTGTGACCAAGTAAGTGACAAGAAGCAACGTAAAGTAGGAAAGCCTTATTTTTATTCATGGTCCTGTAGGATACAGTCCATTCTAGCAGGAAAGGCATGGTAATGAACTTGAGACTGCTTGTGCACATCCAGGCAGATAGGGAAATAGAAGGAAAAAAAAAAGCCCAGCTTGGAAAAACAAAAGCAAAGATCCAAAGGGCAAGACCAACTCAAACTCAAACCACAGAAGTCCACTTCCTCCAGTGAAGCCCCAAACACTAAAGGTTTCACAAACTCTATAAATAGCACCATCATCTGGGAAGAAAACATTTAAACACATCAGCCTACAGGGGGCATTTGACATTCAAACCACTAGAGTGAGACCTCTGTGTGTGTGTGTGTGTGTGTCTCTCTCTCCCTCTCCCTCCCTCCCTCTCTCCCCCCCCTCTCTCTCTCTCTCTCTCACACACACACACAAACACATGTACACTTTCAATCACAAGAAAACCCAAAAATGGAATCAGTGGGATACACAGCAATATCTTGCATTGGTGTTCTGTTTTTTTTTTATTACAGGTGATTTAATTTTCTTCACAATATTTATAGCTGAGAAAACATTTCATATTCAGTACCATGTGGGGACCCACAATATACAAAGCTACAGTGGCTCTGACTCCTTGCTCTACATGGTTTCTATTATTCACTCACTCAGTTTTATGAGAAAACTGAGCCAAGAAATACTTCAGTGACTTGCCTAATATAACACAACTTGCATGGACCAAGGTATGATCTCAGTCACAGAACCTGGATGTGGAATGTGGCTCTTTGCCCAAACCTATTGTCATTCTGGAATATTTTGAGATGTGCAGTGAAAGGCATTGGAATAACCTGACTCTCATTAGCAATGTGTGAAATTCAGTTTGAGAACCATGAGAAACCAAAAGGGAAGAACATACTTTAATAATGTTGCTGAAGGGATCGGAGAGATGCCTCAGTGATAAAGATTGTCTGCTGCTCTGGCAAAGGACCTAGAATTGGCTCCTAGTACCTAAACAGTAGCTTACTTCTCTCTGTAACTCCAGTTGCAGGCAATCCACTGCCCTCCTCTCGTCTCCTTTGGCAGCAGGCACACAGACAAACAGGCAGACAGACAGACAGACAGACAATACACACATCATAAATATAAAATAAAACAAAAAATCTTTGTTTTTTTTTAGTTGCTGACATTTATGGACTACTTTAGGGATGCTTTGTGATCTACAAATAGAAATTTTAAAATTTGAGAGATTGATGGGACATTGTTCTAAGACATTAAAAACTGTTTTAGGCCAAATGTGGTGACACATGCTATCTTAGTTACTGTTGTATTGTTGTGCAGGGACACAATGACCAAGGCAACTTACAAAAGAAGGCATAATAGGAAACTTGCTTACAGAGGGTGAGTACATGACCATCATGGCAGGGAGCAGTCAGCAAACAACCAGGAAGCAGTAGCTGAGAGATTACATCTTATCCACAAGTTATAGGCAGAGAGAGAGACTTGACATGGCATGGGCTTTTGACACCATGAGAGCCTTTGGGGTCCAGCCCATAGACTCTCTTCAGGGCTCAGACAGGATGCTACAGCAAGCAAAAGGAACTTGTTTCTTCTTAGAGTATCTGAGGGTAAACAAAACCTTTCATACACCATGATGTTATGAGCAAAGTCTCTTTATTCTTTTGTTTCTATTTTAATTCTCCTGTCCTATTAATTCCTCCCAGATCTTTTTTTTTTCCAGGAGGCTTGAATGATAATAAGGAAATTGTAAGAGTTGCATCTCATTGGAGAAAAGCACATTCTTCTGGGTGAGCAATAAGGGCTTTACTATGGCAATGCAGAGTTTCAAGGTTTCAGGAGTAAGATTGTGACCAGAGGGCAGAAGGCACGTGCCCAATAATATAAGCTTTGAGGCATAGATCTTTTTATCAGGTAGACTTGGCAATCAATAATTGGCATGCTTTTCTTAGGGTGTTTTGTGTAGTAACCTTGGCTAGACACCTGTGACTCCAACCTTGTGCAAAACTGAAAAGCTAGTCTAATTTGAACTTGCTCTGAGGTTAAAATGAGTTAATTTCATGCAGTTAGCCTTAGATAGAGCAGAAATTTGTTATTTTTTGATATTAGTCTGAGTAAAAGAAACAAAGTAGTTTTTGGTGTTTACAGTCCTCGTGGGACAAATCCATCTAGTGATTAAAATATGTCCTTGTATTTTTCTAAATATCAAAATTATACAACTAAATGGAAAGTCATCTTTCTGAACACTCACAGATAATATATGTGTCAATAAGATTGAGATGTAATCATGAGACTACATATACACATCACATGAGATACACACTACAATGCAGGTATTGGGAAAACACCAAATTGTTTTAGCAAAAGTAAGCAACAGTTTCCAGAGTCTATGGTTCTGCAGGCCTTGCCTGTACAGGATTAACCTCTACCTGAGAATAATTTTTCTGGTGGGTTGACATCTGAATTATCATTTGCTATAAGCTACAATTGCTTTATGGCCCTCAGTAGCTCATGATAATCACTCCTGACATGAAACCTCAAAACCTACCTCAGTGACATCCCTCCTTCAACAATGTCATGGCTCCTAATCCTTCCCCAAACAGTTCCAACAACTAGGGACCAAATATTCAAATGTATTAGTCTGTGAGTCCCATGTTCACTCCAAACTCCACACATGTCTTTAGTCATACAAGATGATCTTTGTTAGTTCAAGGTAAGCCTGGTCTACATATTGAGTTCCAGGCCAGTCAGGCTGTCAAAAAGAGACATCTCTCTCCAGGATTTAGCTGGATTAATCCTCCTATTCCTCTCATCCAAATACCCTAGCCATCCCACGTTCCCAGAGTCAGCTCAGTTTTTGCATTCAGTGCCCCAGCCTTTTGCTAATATGCCTGCCTGTGCAACAACTAACCTCTAGGCTTTTGCTAGGACCTATCCTTTTACCCTGCCTGCCCTAAATCACAGGCCCCTCCAACACCACTTTCAATCTCTCCACTAAACTCCTCCTACACACCCTTCTCCAGGAGTTATATCAGTGTATCCTTCTGATTCCTCCTTCCAAACATACTTCTAAGCTCCCCCATAGATAGCTAGGGTCATGCATACTATGCCCCAGACTAGTAAGGCCACCCTTGACTAGACTGTAAGCAAACTTTAGGCTTCTGCCAGGACCCACCCTGGCTGCTGCTGACCAAGAGACGCCCTTCTACAACACAGCCACCTTGCCATACAGCTTGATGCTGCTCTAGGATCTAGCCAGGTGATTCCTTGTGTTCCTCCCCAGCACACATCTTTCCCCAAATCCCATATCTATCCCTACACTCCGGTTTTGGACTAGAATGCACGTTCTACATATTTTCCCAATTACCTATGTCCTTCTTCATTCCAGCTAAGGTATATTTAACCATTTGGCCCAACTCAATGTGCACAAACTAAGAATACTAAATGGACAAGACCAGAAATGAAAGCCCCATGACATATTACAGCTTAAACACTGTACAGAAAAAAGAAAGTTATATTGAACGATGCAAAATAAGCAACACAAGTAACACATTTTTTTCCCTCAGAAAAAAACCCACCAGAATAACATCTGATTCCTCAGTGAAAACTAAGAGCCTAGTGCACTGAATTCTAAGTCCTAAAACACCATTATGGCCAACTTAGACTAGGCAGCAAAACCATTCCATGAAGTTGAAGGAGAAAGGAAAACTTTCTGTGCGATGGCTAGGCACGGGCCCAACACCAGCCTGGCCCCTGGGCATCAACATGGTTCCGAGTGGCTACCTAGACCCCAGGTATCACCAGAGCCCTCAGTGGCAATTGGAGCCATGGACACCACACTTCCATTTTCTCTTTGTTTTGTTTGTTTTTGCTCTTTCTTTTTAATTTGTTTTTTGTGGGGGGAGAGATTGCAAGGACACAGGGAAGATACAAGGGGACAGGTAGATAAGTGGGATTGGAATTAATAAAAGCAAAAGAAAACAATATATATGATTTTAGTAGTAGTGATGCTGTATCCAAAGTAAATAATACTTTTTACAAATAAGGAAAATTTACTGTGAATTTCCTATTTAATTAAAAAATATTAAATAAAATATATTAAAAATTTAAAAATATTCTAAGTGAATTTATATTAAACAAAAACAAATTAAGAAAATGCAGCAAGATATATTTTGGCTGGAGAAAGGGGTGAGTATTGCCAAGAAACAGTGTAAAGAAATACAAAGGCATAATTACCAAAAACTCAAAGTATGTATGAAAATACATACAACAACACAATAACTACAATTTATACACATATTTTAACAACATTAAATATCAATAGCCTCTGTTCTCCAATGAAAGGACACAGGCTGGCTCAACTGATCAACAAATTTCCTCTCTGTATTGACTATATTTAAAAATAAGGACCATCATGGAGGTAAAGGATAGACAAATGTCTCCTAATCAAATGGGACAAGAAATCAATGAGGAATCACTGTACTAATATTTGACAAAGAAGAGATCAAACTAAGATTAATCAGAATAAATAAAGAAACCCATGTTATTTTAACCCAGGAAATATCTATGAAGATGGCATTAGTATCCCAAACACATATTCACCAAACTCTAGGGCACCCAATTTCATAAAATATGTACTAGTGAATTTAAAGACACAGATTAACAACAACCATTAATAGTAGTTGATTTCAGTACACAACTTTCTCCAAATGACAGGTCATGTGGAAAAATTAAACATAGAAATCTTAGAATTAAATGACATCTTACATCAAATAGACT